TTATTTTGAAAAGATGTTTAATTGTGTTTCAGAAAGTTAAAAATAGTTATTAAATTTACATTAATTTTCTTAGAGCAAAGTGTTATAAATTATATATTTTCTTTTGTTTATTTAAGGGTATTAAAGGTTTCTATGCTTATTATTAACAATAATCATGAATTTTAATGATTTTCAAACTGAAAGAATATTACATGTAGAGGTGAACTAACAAAACCAGACACACATAATTTTGCAGACAACGACTCTCCAGAGAATTCATTGGTAGAAGGCTTCGATTTGGTTTGGAAGAAACATTCTCTTCAAATATTTTGTGCTGCCATTAAATTTATTGTCAAATTGAGAAAAGCTGTAGATCAATATCATCTTCGATAAATCACTCATAGAATATATTAAATATTTGGAGACAAAGCATCTGATTATTTATTTTACCAAGCAAAAGGACTAGTAAATTAAACATGGACTTTTAACTAATATATCAAGAGCCTCTTAATTTATAATTTTTTAGTGGATATAAACATTAGAGTAATCAAACCAGATAGCAAGGTTAAACTCTTAGTCGATTGTACAATACTAATTTTAATAGTGATGAATATATTTTATATTCCTATTTAATTATCATTCTCCTTGTAAGAGAATGCTTAAACAGTTGACTTTTTATTTAGCACAATACCAAGTTGGGTATTTTTAACGGAAATTGTTGTGAATTTCAATACAGCTTATTATTATAAAGGAATGATTCATGAAGATCGTTCCAAAATATTTTAACATTACATAAAGGGGGACTTTTTCAAGGATGTTTTGGTTGTAATCCCATTTCTGATATCTCAATATAACAGTCCATATTTGAATTTTGTTCTGCTGTTGAGAATGGCAAGAGTTAACAAAATATTTGAGTAAATTGAGGAAATCACATTGATTAGAGAGAAATTTGCAGCTCCAATTGATGTTATGAAATTAATGTTATTCCTAGTTTTTGTTGCTCATATGAGTGGTTGTGCTTGGCATTACATAGGAATTCAAGAGTTATTTTATAATAATACTGGATGGTTGATCAAATATGGTTATGGTGAAAAAGATTGGATTACAAGATATGTGATTCTCTCTCTAACCTTGTTATTAAAATAAAAGAAAATAGAAGAAAAAAAGGAAAAATCTTTGAAAATTTGCAGCACAATATTTTGGTTTGCAAGAAAAAAATGTTTATATAAAATAACAAGATGATTTATAAATACTATTTAACAAGTTTAATTTTTGGATTATTTTTCAATAATTAGTTTTTAATTTGTAAAAACAATAACTTCTGCTATTGATTATAAGTGTGATAATGAAACTTTGAGTGAAGGAATGAATGAATCCATTTTGAAAAGATATGGATATGTCGATTTTTAAACTAAATAGTAAACTCTAGAAGATGATAAATTAAAATCCCTCAGAGTCATTCAAAAATTATAATTAAATAGTATTAATAATGGAGATACTCCAAGAATGAAACGGTTTGTTTATAAAAGTTTAATTAAAAAGGATGATAAATCTCATCAGAAATATTAAGAATTGTAATTAGAAATTCTTCATCAAGAATTTATTCAATTCAAAAAGGAGGATTTAAATCAGTTTGACCAACATGTCGAATTTTCTCATTTTCATAAGGATAAAAATATTAGTAAGGTTCTCAATAACTTCTAAAAATAACAGCATAGCAAGCCTCGAGAACAATATTATAGTAAAACTAGATTAGGAAAGACTAAAATGACTCATGCAATCAATATAATTCAAAATACTCACCCTAATTTAATGAATAATTCAAACTTTAAAACCATTTTTAATAATAAATGAATATTTAACATATTTANAGAGAGAAGACTGATTAACATAGAAATAAGATGGCTAAAATTAATTCTTACATGAAGAAAAATAAGATAAGCCCGATGCTTTAAATGAAAATCAGGAAATATTTTGAATATTTTTTCACTTTAGATGAAAGTCCAGAATTGTTGATGGATAATCTTAACGATGATTTGAAATTAGAATTAAGAACAAGCATTTTTATTCCAATTATGATAAAATGCAAATTATTTTAAAAGTTTGATGAGAGTTTGCTAAATCAACTGTGTACAGTTGTTTAGACCTAGAAATTCATTCCAGGATAAATAATATTTCAAGAAAATGATTAAATGAATAAAGCATACTTCATCATTTAAGGAGAAGTAGATATATAAATTAATAAAGTCTCAATTAAATAATAATCAGAAGGATCTTTGGGTATTAGGGAGTTCTTTCTTTAAAAACGTATTCATTATGCCACTAGAGCAACTTAATTTACAGAGATTGCTTATATTCGCTATGATGTATTAAATTTTTCATTCTTCTTAGGATTTCTATCGCATCATACGAGAAAAGTAATCCAATCAAGAATAGTATTGCTAAATGAAAGATGATTTACTCTATTCAACGGTCTAAACCTCATGTGAAATCTGTTCTCATTCTCATAACTTTAATAGATGTCCAGTAGTTTTTTATAGTCCATCAACGTATAAAATTGCATGCGACTAAAGCGATTCTATTCTCTAACCTCGTTATTAAAATAAAAGAAAATAGAAGAAAAAAAGGAAAACTTTTGAAAATTTGCAGCACAATATAACTTCTGCTATTGATTATATGTGTGATAATGAAACGTTGAATGAAGGAATGAATGAATCCATTTTGAAAAGATATGGATATGTCGATTTTTAAACTAAATAGTAAACTCTAGAAGATGATAAATTAAAATCCCTCAGAGTCATTCAAAAATTATAATTAAATAGTATTAATAATGGAGATACTCCAAGAATGAAACGGTTTGTTTATAAAAGTTTAATTAAAAAGGATGATAAATCTCATCAGAAATATTAAGAATTGTAATTAGAAATTCTTCATCAAGAATTTATTCAATTCAAAAAGGAGGATTTAAATCAGTTTGACCAACATGTCGAATTTTCTCATTTTCATAAGGATAAAAATATTAGTAAGGTTCTCAATAACTTCTAAAAATAACAGCATAGCAAGCCTCGAGAACAATATTATAGTAAAACTAGATTAGGAAAGACTAAAATGACTCATGCAATCAATATAATTCAAAATACTCACCCAAATTTAATGAATAATTCAAACTTTATAACCATTTTTAATAATAAATGAATTTTTAACATATTCAGCTAATGTAAAGTAAGGATATCCAGTTATTAATGTATAAGGTTTCTACCTTCCTACAAAATTTATATTTTCTCTTTATCTAATAACATTCAATTTCTAAAATTTTAAATAGAATATTTCCTAATTGATTATTTCAAATATTAATTATTTTTCTGATAAAAAAGTTAGGGCTAAATGAAATACATTTTTTTCATCGTTTTGTAAAAAATATTCTCATTTTAATTTAAGATAAAATAACTATCAAAATGATAGTTTTATAAACTTCTTCAATATTCATAGCCCATAACATGGCCTTAAATGTATTAAAAGATTAATTAAATAAGCAAATTACAATTTATTATTTTAATTCCTTTATGGTTTAGAAGTTTTGCACTAATTATCCAACAGAAGGAGATACATTAAATGAAAGAATAAAGTCCATTTAATTAAGACATCATACAAATATCTTTTACTTTCCCATATTACTAAAGCAATACTACTTCAATGGAGTGAATTCAATTTTAAAATTTTAGTAATTATGAATCAGCTTAAAGAAGACCTATCATTTTAATTGACATTTAATAATCTATTTAATGATCCTCATTCAAAAAGTATGTTGTGGCCAATAAGTTATAATTTTATAGGATCTTATTTTAGCTAGAATACTTGATCCGAAGGGAAATTGCATTAATATTTATAAACACTATTTTCAATTATTGTGTTTAATGATTATTATATTAATTTCGATATAATTAAGTTTATTTCTAAAATTTAGAAGCCTAATACTTTGCAGAAGATGAAGAACCTCAGATTTATTCAACATTGATTAAATGGCAGAAAATGAATTGGCCAAAAGATAAATAAATCGAAATCATTAAGTAATTATTAAATGTATTTAATTATTTAATTCATCTAAATATGAATTATTTAAATAAATGTTTTGGATATTTTATATTTTAAGATTAGTCATATCAACTTGTTCATACACAAATTTTGATTAATTCTAATTAAGCAGTGACAGTTTTTATCAAGAATAGAATTATGTAAGAGGAAATCCATATGCATTTGGTGTATGGACACAATTTGCTCCACTTAGAAAAAATTTTTTTGCAGATAAATCAAAACCATATTTTGATTCTACCCTTAGTCTTGATGGGTTTCATATCCTTAATTTTTAAAGCGGAGGAAACATTCAAACATTATTCTATTAATAGCCACTTTATGTTACAGGATACCCAACACTAATAATTCTGTAATATACTTAATCTGGAGTGTTTTCCTATAAGATTCAGGAAGGACTCTATTATTATGAAGGATATTGGGTTTTTACTTATTTTAGTTTTAACTACGATAACAAATACAACTTTGCATCATACAGTACAGGGGATGATCGTTTTTTTAATTTTTTGGTCACAAATAGAAGATTAAAAACATAAACAACAAATGCTAAATTAGAATATGGAGGTTAGGGATTATATGCCATAGGTACTAGTAGTTACAATCTAAATATATTTTTGGGAAGAATTTCGATAATTAATACATTTGAAAGCCCAATTACTTTTTTCATCAATACAGATAAGGCAAAGTTTAAATAATTTATTTAAAATTGCTAAGTTCCTCCATCATGTTAAGAGACTTTGGAAGTATATCTCTTTAATGAAACTTATAATAAATTTAATTATTCTATAGGCAGTTATTAAATTGATATTCCAGGATTAGTCAATGGATTAAATTTTTGGATGAAGAGAGATTATAAGATAATTAACTCATAAAAAGAAATCTTAATGTCTTTTGGAGGTAATTTTGCAACTTTAGATCGGTTTTACTAATTAGAATTGTATTGGTAAGTTTTCGATCAAGATGTGTTTTTAGTACACAGTTTTGATCTTTATTACTTAATACCTATAGAAAGACCAACAGCCGATGTAAGTTTAACTAGCTATGAATATATCAATAAACCTGTAAAATTTTTCGAAAAATGGACTTATTTTTAATATTTATTCAAGAAGGTTGGACAATCTCAAATTATTTCAGTTTATATCTATTAATACTCCAGTGAAACATATGAAATATACAATTTTATTGGTTATCCTTAATGCCAATAATATTCTAATTATCAGGCCACAATAACGGTATTCACATTATAGAAATATCAAAATATGCAGCCTTTTGGAGGTTTGATTTCAAATTTAAGATTTACATACTGTTACAGTAACAGTTTCACTATGGATTAGGATTTTGAAATTACTTCAAACATACGTATATAAAAGATATAATGATAGGTTGCCATGCACTCTGTGAAACATGCACGGGGCCTACCAAATATGATTGCTTTTCCTGTTATGATGAATAAAATAGATACTTGTAAATTGATCTTCATTAGTGTTATTGTAAATCAAATTATGAGGAAGGAACTGGTTTAATTTGCCAATGTAATTTATTTATATCATTTAGAAACGTTTTTAAGCTCTGTTTCCTAATAAATAGAGTTGTATAAAGAGTTCAATCTTATTGAAGTTTAGAAAGATAACAAGTGTAGTTATGGCTACTTTGAAGTATGGAAGGACTTGAGATTCTTGCGATGCATTAAATGGTATTGATACAGTTATTTTGAAGTCCCTATTTTGGTCAAAGTCATAATTCAGTAAACTGCATAAATTGTATACTCAATTCTCAAAATTGGTATTTAAACCCAATTTGTAATATTGATTACAGAACTGATGACTCTGAATTCTATTACAATCAATAATTAGACTATCAATCTTAAGAAATATTTATAATCAATTTTGATTTAATGATTGCAGAATTGTGTCCTGGATGTGATTATATTTCTGAAACTAAAAATTCACAATCCATTATTAAGAATGTAAATGGATTAGATACTTATTATGAATGCAAATAGCATTTATACCCTTAGGATAATTCTTGTGAGCAATGCGAAATTTATTGTAATAAATGCGAAGATACAGAAAAATGTTTAGAGTGTAATCTAGGGTTTTATATAAAAAATGATCATTGCTATTAATGTCCTTAGGGGTGTTTATCATGTAGTTTAGATATAGAATTAGAGTAAGTAAAATGTAAAGATTGTGAACAAGAATACTCTTTAATTGATGATAATTGTTAAAAATGTGGAGAACTATGTTAAATTTGTTCAAAGAAATTGAACAAAGATACTGGATAAGAATATATGAAGTGTTTAAAATGTAATTATAATGCTTATATATCTCTTGATGGAGAAAGCTGCTACTTTAATAATTTAGATCATTGCATATACCCTTTTCAATTTTCTACTGTGTCTATTGATATCAACACAATATATTTTGATTTTCAACCTTAAGAGTCTCAATATATTAAAACTGGTTGTACATATTGCTCACCTATGTCTGCATTGGATACTGAAAATAATTTGTTTAATTGCGCTCCTTTAAATCTTGATTAAATTAAGAGTGGATGTGAATATTACCTTAAGGTACCTGGTGAAGTAATTTGCATTATTGGCATCTATAACAATATGTGGATTGGAACCGGATATTGCACTTAATTGATTCCGCACTGTCTCTTTTGTTACCTGGGTAATTGGGAAACTAGTTATATTTGTTATATATGTGAAGACGGTTATTATATTGATTATTATACAAGTTTTTGCAAACCATGCAATACAGAATGTGCTACTTGTATTTAAGTTGATTCTTCTAATATAGTAAAGCAATCAGTTATATTATTTTTCTCATATATATCAATTCAACAACCAACATATAGTTTGGCAACTCAAAATCCTAATTAAAATGAAGTTTATATTATATGTACTATATGTTCTGATGGCTATGTTAAGCATTTTGATAAATGTATCGAAAAATGTCCTAGTAATTGTAAGGAATGCAAAGTTATTGATGATTAATAAGTATGCATTTCTTGCATTTAATTTAATGATTCACATTACCATATTTATAATGGAAGATGCATTTAATGTCCTGAAAATTGTAATATATGTCATCCAAGAACTGATGATGAGAAATTAATGATCAATCAATATTTTAACAATAAAGATTTAGTGTATTTTACTCATAAATGTATAGCACCTCTATCTAGTGATTTTTATTACGATTAGGATATTCACTAATTTATCAAATGTGATAATTTTAATGAATGCGAAAAAGAAGTTGTAATAGAAATTCAAATTTATTGTAACTAAATTGATTTAGAAAACTATCTCAATAAATTGAATGATCAATAAATAGAAATTTAAAGAAAATTTCATATTCTTTTGGAAAATCTGGATTTATCATTATATGAGTATTATGATTATTTTCTGTATCTTAATTAGAACTTTGTTAGGATAGTTAACTATTAACTTACAATTGCAGATAATTAACTCTGTTCTTTGAATAAGGAACTAAAGCTCTAATCAAATTTATATCAAAATACTTTTAATTTAATTGAATTAAACCTTATTTTTAATGGATCTGGAAATACTCTCTAATTGAATAATCACTTATCGCTTTCAAATTTTACACATATAAGAATTGTAAACCTTGATCTTCAAATTTAGACTGGATATATAACAATGGAGAATATCATTCATTATACTGTAGAGTTTGAAACCATTACTATCTCTCAGGATAAAAATGATTTATCATCTTAAGATTATTTAATCTAAATTAGGGAATCTTCTGAAATTAATATTTCAAATTTATAAATACTTAGTATTAATGTTCATTTTTTGAATGGATTGTTTGCAATAACAAATCAAAATATCAATACTAAACTAACAGCACAAGATCTAATTATAAACCATGTTAAAATTACGAATACTTCAATTATTAAATATAACACATCTCTAAAAATAGAAACTAAAATATTAAATTTGCATATTCTAAATTCCTAATTTACAAATACTGTTCTTATTGAGTAAATTTAATAAACTGAAATCATGAAGATAGATAATTTTATTTTTTAAAATTCAATTCTATTAAATTCTACAAGGTTCTTAAATTTTGAATAAATTTAAAATGTTTAATTAAGTGGATTATAACTTTTAGACTCAACCTTACAAAATTCAAATTTTATCTCAAGTTCTAAAATTCTGTTATTGATAGAATTCATTTTACAACACCTTTAATTTTTAGGATAATCCACATTACTAATCAATCAAAACTTAGTTTTTATTGAATTAATTTAAATTAAAGATGGTAAGATAATTGATAATGTTTATTCAAACAAAAATGCTTTAATTCTATTATTCAATTCAGATGCTGTGTATCTTAATAATATAGAATTTATCAACAATGCTATTAATATTGATAATTAAAAAGACTCTTTTGTTAAGAACATTGATTTATCTTTAATAAATATTGAGTCTAATACTGTTATATTTGATGCTTTGATGATTCAAAGAGGAATAGGCTATTCTGAATTCACTATTAAAAATGCGAATAATTTTAAATTTATGAACTCTGTAATAACATTGCACAAAAAGTATTATTTTAAAAGTCTATTTAATAATTAATAATGTAATATACAACCATTCAATTAGTTTATGTATAATAATTTGATGAATTTATAAAATAGCTCTTTTATTTATGTTTCAAATACCAATATCACTGATCTAATATTATATGATTCAGCGTTATTTGAAATGTAAATGCTTCCATAAATTAGCTCTTAATTCGTGTTTATTAAATGCAATTTTTCTTCAAACATTTTGCATCAAGTAATCAAATATGAAAAAGTATCTTTAATATCAATTTATTCCAATTATTATCTTAATTTGAATATNGCAGATAATTAACTCTGTTCTTTGAATAAGGAACTAAAGCTCTAATCAAATTTATATCAAAATACTTTTAATTTAATTGAATTAAACCTTATTTTTAATGGATCTGGAAATACTCTCTAATTGAATAATCACTTATCGCTTTCAAATTTTACACATATAAGAATTGTAAACCTTGATCTTCAAATTTAGACTGGATATATAACAATGGAGAATATCATTCATTATACTGTAGAGTTTGAAACCATTACTATCTCTCAGGATAAAAATGATTTATCATCTTAAGATTATTTAATCTAAATTAGGGAATCTTCTGAAATTAATATTTCAAATTTATAAATACTTAGTATTAATGTTCATTTTTTGAATGGATTGTTTGCAATAACAAATCAAAATATCAATACTAAACTAACAGCACAAGATCTAATTATAAACCATGTTAAAATTACGAATACTTCAATTATTAAATATAACACATCTCTAAAAATAGAAACTAAAATATTAAATTTGCATATTCTAAATTCCTAATTTACAAATACTGTTCTTATTGAGTAAATTTAATAAACTGAAATCATGAAGATAGATAATTTTATTTTTTAAAATTCAATTCTATTAAATTCTACAAGGTTCTTAAATTTTGAATAAATTTAAAATGTTTAATTAAGTGGATTATAACTTTTAGACTCAACCTTACAAAATTCAAATTTTATCTCAAGTTCTAAAATTCTGTTATTGATAGAATTCATTTTACAACACCTTTAATTTTTAGGATAATCCACATTACTAATCAATCAAAACTTAGTTTTTATTGAATTAATTTAAATTAAAGATGGTAAGATAATTGATAATGTTTATTCAAACAAAAATGCTTTAATTCTATTATTCAATTCAGATGCTGTGTATCTTAATAATATAGAATTTATCAACAATGCTATTAATATTGATAATTAAAAAGACTCTTTTGTTAAGAACATTGATTTATCTTTAATAAATATTGAGTCTAATACTGTTATATTTGATGCTTTGATGATTCAAAGAGGAATAGGCTATTCTGAATTCACTATTAAAAATGCGAATAATTTTAAATTTATGAACTCTGTAATAACATTGCACAAAAAGTATTATTTTAAAAGTCTATTTAATAATTAATAATGTAATATACAACCATTCAATTAGTTTATGTATAATAATTTGATGAATTTATAAAATAGCTCTTTTATTTATGTTTCAAATACCAATATCACTGATCTAATATTATATGATTCAGCGTTATTTGAAATGTAAATGCTTCCATAAATTAGCTCTTAATTCGTGTTTATTAAATGCAATTTTTCTTCAAACATTTTGCATCAAGTAATCAAATATGAAAAAGTATCTTTAATATCAATTTATTCCAATTATTATCTTAATTTGAATATAACAAATGTCACATTCTCCTCCAATTTATTAAATTTATTAAAAGAAAGTAACGCTTAAAAACAGAGCCTCATTTTATAAGTGGAAGCATATTAATCCAAGTGTATAATAAGTAGTAGCCTAATACAAAAAAATATGATTTTGAATGGTTAAGGATCTCTTATGTACATTGACGGTGACTTAATTATTTTGGAAAATACAAAGTTTTTTCAGAATTCAGCATTTGTCTTTGATACTTTAAAGTAATTCCTCAGATGGGGTTTTACGAGTGAAATCTTTTTAGAAGACTTATAGAAATTATATATTAGTTCTAGCAGTGGAGGAAATGGAAATTTTTAAGCTCGATAGGTCATATTCAATCAGATTTTATTATAGGACTCTATCTCAGTATAAGGCGCTGCATTTGTATTAAAAATGATAGAAGATGGAAATATTCAGATTAAAAATTCTCACTTTAAAAATTTACAAAGTGAATTAATGGAAGCTTCATAAGGAGCAGCTTTTCATATCCAATCTTAATCATTATACTTACAAATAGATGTTATTAATACCGTATTTCTAAATATTTCTTCCAGAACAGGAGGAAGTATATTTTATATAATACCCTCATCAAAACTATTCAATATCTCTTTACTTAACTCTACATTTGAAAACTTTTTTTCAATTTAAGGAGGCTTAATATACATAGAAAAATCTAATTACTAATTATAAATTGTTCAGATGAATGAATGTAGTTTATCTTAAAATTTGGATTAATTTTATGCATTCATCGATTCATTACAGAATTTATCAATGAATGAACTCACAACTTTGACATAAGAACATTCATTGATCCATTGTTATGGCTGCTAATTTTAGATAAATGATTTAAGTGTAACAAATTATCCTCCTATGCCCTTATTCTAACTATATGGAAGCGCATATCTCAAGAATATTTCAATATAAAATATTATTTTTTCAAATCAATTATTCCTTTTTTCTCCAGTCGGATAATCTGATGAAATAATTATTCATAATATCAGGGTTTACAACTGTACTCAAATACAGATTAGAGAATTTGATATTCCCTCTAAAAGAAATGGCAACCTTTTAAATAGCAGTTTAAGTACAACTTGTAATGAAAATTTAATAAATGCTCCTCCTACTATTATGAGTTTTTAGGAAAGTGACTCTAATATTAATCAAATTACACTTTTATAAACTTTATTATCTTAAATATAATCATCAACAATAGCATTGGTATTATTTTAATTTATAGATTAATATCAATAACAAAAAATACAACTTTCTGATATTATTCTCTAAAATAACAAGTGCAGCAATTGCTCCTATGGTCTATTGAATTTTGAGAATAGTAAGAAAATATCTATAATTATTTAAAAAATGGATGTATCTAATTCGTACTGTGGGAAAAATGGTTGCATTTCATTCATTTCATAAGATAACCGTATTCTTTAAAATAAAGATTCGAATGGATCCATAGCTTATTCTTCTATCAGAATATAGAATTTATAATGCATCAACAATTAAGCTTAATACGGAGGATGTTTGTTTATCTAAAATTAAATCATTTCAATAATACAAAGTTTGATAGCTGGCAATAAGGCAGTATATGGAGGAGCTTTTTTTACAAAAGGGGTTAATTCAACATTGATCTCAGAGAATTTAGTTATTACAAATAATTCAGCTTAATTTGGAAGTGGTATCTATAGTGAAGACAACTTGAATAGAAATGTTAAAGGAATAGAAATAATTGATAATTAGGGATTGAATCAAATTGAAGAACACCCTTAGTAACTCTATCTGTAAATTATTAAAGACTAAATGATGAAACCAACAATTATATAAAATTCTAAAAATGGCCAAAAATCTTAAATAATTGGCAAAGATGGATAAAATACAATTATTCATATACCTACTGGAATATCATTATCAGAATACAGAAAATTTGAAATAGAAAAGAATAGATACAATTATTAAACTATGCAAATGAGATTATACGCAGTTAATTCATAATTAGAAATTGTTAGAAATCTAACAAATACCTATTGTGAATTACAAATTAATAATGTGAATAGTAGATTAGAACAAAATTTATCTTTAAGTAAAAATAAAATTTACTTTAATTAATCGACGTTTTCCTACAATTTAGATGATTTAATCTTTTACATTCCCTCAGATTCAAATTAAACCTTTGAATTTAATATTAAGTGTAACAGTATTTATATTCCAATAATAAACAATAAAAACAGTTTAATAGAGGGGTATAATTCTATTTTTAAATTAGATATCACTAAAATTATGTTTTAAGTCTTTTGATTAAGCCTAATGAGTGTTAAATTGGAGAATACAGTTAATCTAGAGAGGATTATTGTCACTAATGCATAGTAGATTAGAAATAATATTCTGTAATTTTAGGAGCTACTAGTTGCTAAACTGCAGACGATCAAAAGATTTAGGAAATAACCTAAGCTTAAATATTCTTAAAAAAGGTATACTAATCTTCTTATTATATTTAGGGTTACTGGAGAATGAAAGTGACTACTTCAACCATAGACTTGTGCATAAATAATCAGCAAAATTGTATTGGAGGATGGGGAGTTGGAAATGATCTATGCTAATAGGGATACATAGGGGCTCTTTGCGAATAGTGTGATTATTATAATGAGAGAGGAGGAGGATATTATTAAAGAGAGGGTTTTTATGAGTGCTAAATTTGCTAAAATGATACCAAACAATAGCTATTTAATTTGTTGATCACAATTTTAATGTAAAAAATGTTTATAAAATTTTAGATTTGTATGCATACTATACATAATGAATTATTTGTCGAAATAAAGAATTTAATTTATTCGTTTGAATATTAAGCAGTTTAAAGTACCTTTCAGATAAGGCATTTTTAAGTAAGACGAAGTACTTATGGGATAGAGCATAAAGATTATATTGTTCTATTTTCAAATTATCAGTTATACATAAGAATTAACTTCTGTATTTTCTGATTAAGTCTAATAATTAGTTCATTTTCTAGGAGATCCTTTTACATTACTAGTAATACTTAAAGAATGTTAATTGATAAACGAATCAGTTAATGTAATTTACTTATAAATCTTATAAAATTTTATATTTTTGCTGATATTGATGACTACTTATGTCTGTTTTTGTTTGGCTAAGATTTTATTCTCAAAATACAAAACTACAAAGTCAGAATTATTTAATTTTATATATCTTATATACATCTTTATTGTTGGAAGTTTGATACGATCTATGATTCAACTTATAGCTTTTAGAGATATTTAAGATGTGTATTGGATTTACAAAAACATTTCGTATGATTTCACAAATGCAAATCATCTAAAATTAGTATTTATTTTATTTTTACCTGTTGTGATATGTCTGGGGATTGTTTTACCTTATTTATTACTACGAAAGTCAAAGTCAGACTTATTTTTATCTAAGCGAATCCCTTATAAAGATTTTGGATTTTGGTTTACATCTTACTCAAACAAACATCAACATTGGGAATTTTATAAATTTTTATTGATTAATGGATTGATATGCATAATCATAATGATTGATGCAAATACTGCAATAAAAGGAGCATTATCTTATTTTCTACTTATCGTTTATACTAAAGTCTGTTCAAACAAAAATATATATTATCATAAATAAATGAATAGATTCGAATGTTAATTGAATATTATCAGTATCATAATTCTAATCTCTTGCACACTATTTTCAGTATAGGAAAACTAGGATTCGATATTTAAAAATATCATTTTGATCTTTATTAATTCTATATTTATTTTGAGTGGAGTGTTTATGATCCTACATTTATGGAAATTGAATTCCTCATATATAGGAAGGATTTTTTGTAAAGGTTTCGAAAGATTAGGACAATCTAATCAGAACTTTATTAAGTATAATATTTTTTAAGCTCATTCAAACAGTTCCATACAATTAAGAAAAAAGAGATTTGAATTATTAAAAGCTTATTTAAAATAGTAAAGCAAAACATAATTATTAATTAAAGAAGAATATTAAAGCTCTCAAGAATCGAATGAAAAACTTTAATGAATTTGAATTAAGAATTTAAATATCAAAAATATTAGGATATATTTTTTAATAATTTTTATTTAATCTCATGATTAATTTCTACATTTGGACAGCCAACATCATCTTGATAGGATTAATTAGACCTACTACCCAGTGTGATTCAAATACATTGGAAGGATGCCTTCTAGATAACACTACCGAGGCAACCAAGATATCACTCTTAGATTATTCAGCCTATGGATATGGCTTCTGGTTCTAATATTTACCCATGCTGCCTACACTTTATGATAACTTATAAAGATTTCCTAAAATAGAAGGGTTTCTTTTATTAAGGGAGATAAATCCTGATACTTCTTAGTATAGGGTATTTTTGTATTAAGATTGGACAAACAACAATGCTAATTAAGAAAAATACTTATATTTATAATATGAATCAAACGGCTAAATGATCTAATTAGCAAAATTCATATTTGACTCATTCGACTTTTAAGGCAAATGGATTCATATATATGTTTCATATTAATTTCCTGATTAAAGATAAATAATTATGTATGAAATTCTGAATGATAATTGTTAAATCATAAACTATTAATCTAGCACTAATTTAGAATTGAAGGAGATCTTAATTACTCAAGGAGGAGAATTAAACTTATAATTAAATTAAAATGATGAATCAAAACAATTTGTTTAATATCCTGGTAGAATTTCGAAAGTAGAGTATAATTTCAATAAAAATAATGTAGTTTTTAACGCAGTTTAAGAATTTAAACAATTTATTGAATAATAATTTATACCTTAGCCATTTTGTTAGACTTCAACTTATGATAAATAATTAATATCAAGTTATATATACCAGTTTGGATTGATTTAACTTGAATCTTGGGTTAAGATTGATTATATTTTAGTACTATTATTTTTTATCATAGAATGTGAATTTTTCAACCAGCGTTTTTGGAGTTGAGATACTCTCAGAATTTTCTGCTAATACCTATTAAAAATTAGTTGATTTATAGTATTGCCTTATTTAAGCATGGAAATCTGATTTAACAAATGGAGTGCTCTTCTAAACTCTCAATTAGATCGATCCAGACTAATTCTTAAATTAGGCACAATTTCTAAATGATGCCAAAGTTGTTTTCCATACCTTAAAATAAGACTTAAGATAATGGCATTATGTTTCTATTCTTTATGGTTTTGATTATGCATAAGTGCCAGTTTCAAATTTGAAAATGTGGTTCCTTGATGGGGAGGTCTATGATGTTCAATATCATAATAAAACTTTTCTTTTCTAAAAAAGTCCCATAAGAATTAGAAGCGCATTCCTTCTCAATACAGCAGTTAATGGGATTTAGATAGTAGCAGAGAGTAGTAAGATAACTATTTGCCTAACGGAGTCACTTGCTCTCATGAAAAGTAAGCCTATTTTTGATTGAATAGAGTGTCATTTCAGTTGTTTCGATTGCAATGGTCCATATCTTAATTAATGCATAAGTTGCGATTAGAACTCTAATAGATATCTAGAAAATAGTTAGTGTAAATGTACTCTTGGATATATTGAAAATAATCTTGGAAATTGTATATGTAATATCATTATCTGAAATTAGAATTCTTGGATTTCTATCCCACATCTATTGAAGATTACAATGCAAAGAATTAATCTTTATCTTAATTTGGTTATTTTCCAATTAAAGAATTTAATAATGAAATTATTTATATACGTTGTCCTTAATTTAACGAAATTTAATTGGAAAAGATAAGTTGCATAGAATGCTTGACTTAACCGGAAACATTTGCTAAACTATTGAAGTGTGAATCAGATTATGTAGTTAATAGTTATGGTCAATATGAATTAATATAGAGAGAAGATAAAGATGTTGAATTATATGTTCTTGCAACATCAACATCCTCCCTTACTTTGTGTGTTGGGTGTAAGTCTATTTGTAACTAAAATATTGATTCAAATTGTCATTTTCATACTTTATTACAAGTATATATTTAATGTCAATCGCAATTCTATTATAAAAATGGAGAATGTTATGTGTGTAATTCAAATTGTAAGACATGTGAAGATTTTTCAATTTGCACATCTTGTTATGATTAAATGACATTAAATCCTGTGAATAATGAGTGTCTTGAATGTCCAAAGGAATGTTAAGAATGTGAATATAATTCTGGTGTTCAATGCAAATAATGCATAGGATAATACTCAGTGTTTTAAGGATAATGTTACTCTTGTAGTAAATATTGCTTAGAATGCGTACATGTTTAAAATCCCAAAGACGGATCTTATTATAATAGATGTATTAATTGCATTGATAATTAAAAATATTATTTATCAATTAATGCAGTTGATTGTATTGAAAATCTAGATATTCATTGCATATATGCAATCTAATTTCATAAATCATGGTTTATGAGAAACAGAGTAAATACTATATATCATTTGTATGAAAAAGGAGATTTTAATTCTGATTAACTTATTAATTACTGTGCTTTGTGTGAGGATGGATATGCTTCATTACTTTCAGGATAATGTATTAGAATAGATTCAATTCCTGATAATATTGAAAATAAAGAATATTGTACACAAATGTACTAAATGGAGGTGTATCAATCATTGTAATTAAATCAATTATAGTACTAATGTATGGTTTACACAAAAGAGTTGAAATAAATTGTTTCAATTTCAAACGGTTGTGAAAATATCTTTTTTAATTGTGATTACTGTTTCAAAACTATATGTTTGCTTTGCTATCCTGGATATTATAGTGAATTTGCTTCTGGATAATGCATTCCATGTCCATCAGAATTAAATTGCTATAGATGTGAATAGCGATCAAAGTAATGGAAGAATGGCTGGAAAATTTGGTATGCCATGGTTCATTTTAATATGAAACGTAGAAACTTATAAAGTGATGTGTTCGGAAATGAAGCATAAAATAAATTAGAAGTGGTTTGTAAGACTTGTACAATTGATTTTGAGTTTTACTAAGATAAATGTATCAAAAAATGTGCAGAGAATTGTGAGCTATGTATAAAAAGCAATGGATAAAATAAATGTGTGAAATGTTAGATATATGAAGGTCGACGTCTGTCCTTATATGAAGGGGATTGCATTGATTGTCCAAGATATTGTCAGATTTGTAAACCTAAAACTAATTCTTAATTATTAAGTGCTAATCCATATTTCTCAAATTCTAATGTCAAATCTTCAACACATACTTGTTTGTTGTTATAAACCGGATTAAGCTTTTAAGATTATTATTATGATACTAAATTTTAATAATTCTTTAAGTAAAGTTAAACCGGAACAGATCCGAATTCGATTACATTGAAATTCAACCTTTATTGTAATTTAGAGCTCTTTAATCAACATCTAGAATTAGCCTTAGAAAAATAACATTTTCTATAGTAAAATGTTAAATTTGAGGAACTAGTAACAAATAATAAATCTTCCAGCAATTTTGGAAGAATTGAAAANTTGATTCAAATTGTCATTTTCATACTTTATTACAAGTATATATTTAATGTCAATCGCAATTCTATTATAAAAATGGAGAATGTTATGTGTGTAATTCAAATTGTAAGACATGTGAAGATTTTTCAATTTGCACATCTTGTTATGATTAAATGACATTAAATCCTGTGAATAATGAGTGTCTTGAATGTCCAAAGGAATGTTAAGAATGTGAATATAATTCTGGTGTTCAATGCAAATAATGCATAGGATAATACTCAGTGTTTTAAGGATAATGTTACTCTTGTAGTAAATATTGCTTAGAATGCGTACATGTTTAAAATCCCAAAGACGGATCTTATTATAATAGATGTATTAATTGCATTGATAATTAAAAATATTATTTATCAATTAATGCAGTTGATTGTATTGAAAATCTAGATATTCATTGCATATATGCAATCTAATTTCATAAATCATGGTTTATGAGAAACAGAGTAAATACTATATATCATTTGTATGAAAAAGGAGATTTTAATTCTGATTAACTTATTAATTACTGTGCTTTGTGTGAGGATGGATATGCTTCATTACTTTCAGGATAATGTATTAGAATAGATTCAATTCCTGATAATATTGAAAATAAAGAATATTGTACACAAATGTACTAAATGGAGGTGTATCAATCATTGTAATTAAATCAATTATAGTACTAATGTATGGTTTACACAAAAGAGTTGAAATAAATTGTTTCAATTTCAAACGGTTGTGAAAATATCTTTTTTAATTGTGATTACTGTTTCAAAACTATATGTTTGCTTTGCTATCCTGGATATTATAGTGAATTTGCTTCTGGATAATGCATTCCATGTCCATCAGAATTAAATTGCTATAGATGTGAATAGCGATCAAAGTAATGGAAGAATGGCTGGAAAATTTGGTATGCCATGGTTCATTTTAATATGAAACGTAGAAACTTATAAAGTGATGTGTTCGGAAATGAAGCATAAAATAAATTAGAAGTGGTTTGTAAGACTTGTACAATTGATTTTGAGTTTTACTAAGATAAATGTATCAAAAAATGTGCAGAGAATTGTGAGCTATGTATAAAAAGCAATGGATAAAATAAATGTGTGAAATGTTAGATATATGAAGGTCGACGTCTGTCCTTATATGAAGGGGATTGCATTGATTGTCCAAGATATTGTCAGATTTGTAAACCTAAAACTAATTCTTAATTATTAAGTGCTAATCCATATTTCTCAAATTCTAATGTCAAATCTTCAACACATACTTGTTTGTTGTTATAAACCGGATTAAGCTTTTAAGATTATTATTATGATACTAAATTTTAATAATTCTTTAAGTAAAGTTAAACCGGAACAGATCCGAATTCGATTACATTGAAATTCAACCTTTATTGTAATTTAGAGCTCTTTAATCAACATCTAGAATTAGCCTTAGAAAAATAACATTTTCTATAGTAAAATGTTAAATTTGAGGAACTAGTAACAAATAATAAATCTTCCAGCAATTTTGGAAGAATTGAAAATCTAAATTTGTACACATTTCTAAGTATCTAACAGATTTAAGAAGTTGAATTACAATTTAGCTTTATTTAAGATTGTTCTATAGAATTCCATTCTTACATATTCACTACTTTAATTTAGAACATCTATTTTGTCACTTCAGCTAAAATTACTCTAGTTGGTAATGGGTATACATTATTCCTTAACTAAAATTTAGAAATACTGAATTTTGAATCTGTTTCAATACAACATTTAATAATTTAGCCGAAATCAACTGTGAACATTCATTTATAATCTTTAAGTGCTTTGAAAGTACTATTTAAATCAATAGTTATAAAATAATAATAAGAAGATTAAAATCCAATAACATTTAATATTGTATCCACAAATCTCTAGGAATTATAGATTCAAAACTTATCTTTACAAAATCTAAATCTACAATCTGTAACTAGTTTGTTTTCTTTCGAATATACAGTTTACTAACAATACATTAACATTAATATTGATGAATTTAATATTTAAAATTCAAAGATTCACAATTCAAATATCATTTTACTTGATAATTACTTTTAAAAAACAACAAATTGTTATTTGAATAACATTCTAATCACAAATTCCAATCTTTATGCTAGTAAATTTTTGACAACTTTAAATAACTAATATCTAGAAATGTATGGTTCATTTTCCTAAATATCCATGTATCTCTCTTTGTTTTCAGATATTCAACCTTTATTCTAGACCTTTTGTTTTAAAACTTTAAATATTAGCAGAATATCTTTAACAAATTCAACATTCTCAAATTTTATTCTATTTTAAACAAATAATGAATAAATTAATAAGGACTATTAAATTAAGTCATGTAATTTAAAGAATAGCTCAATTATTAATTTTTTTTAAGACTACTAGTTTCAATCTATTATTTTACAGAATATCGAAATTAATTAAGTTTATCATGACGATAAAACAATTCTTATAAATTTAGTATCAAATGATTTGACTAGTACAGTTAAGATGTCTAATATTATTTTAGATACAATTACTATTTTTGATAATATTGAATTGGTTTAAAATTTATAGTCAAGTTAGTCGATTATTATTATCTAATCCAACTTAATTGAAATATCTGATGTTAAAATCATCAGATCGACTGGCATTACAGAATTTTTATTATCCTCAGCTATTAACTTAGTACTTTCAAATTTTACTATTACTTTAAACTAAAAGTACATCTTTAAAAGCATTATCACAGATGAGTAATGTTCATAACTTGATATATATTCTAAATATGCACTCACTTTAATTGTTTAGATGGCATAAAATATTAGAATATAGAACTTTTATATATCTAATCTTATTATTTAGGATTTCCCTATGATTTACATAATCTCTGTAGCAACCTAAATTATTAGAAGATCTGAATCTATTGTAATTGATTTAATGAATGTAGATAATTGCATCATATAAAAGAGCTAGACTATTAATTAGATATCTGTAATTCTTATATAATCAGAATAATAATAAGATATCCAAATTCTAAATTCCAGATTTAATAATAATATTTACTATTCATACACCAAAGAATCTGAGTCTGAATCAGCATTAATCTTCTATATAATTGCATAAAACTCCAAAATATCACTGATTAAATGTTAATTTACCCAAAATTATATTTCTTAAAGCGAAAATAGCTTGTTAAATATAAATAGTGAATAAATTCATATAATTGATTCATCTTTTATTTCAAATAATTAGATTGGTGATAGCTTTTTGAAGCACATAAATTGGAAATATCTACCATTTTATTTAACAATAGAATAAATCAAAAATTAATTTTAAGTACTATCCACAAGTGGAAATGGTTAAATAACATCCTCCTCAGTTACACTTAGAAACACAAATATTGAAGATAGTTTTTCAACTTCTGCGGGATGCTTTAAAATTACATTAGAAAATGAAGGGCAGTTGCTTATCAGAAATTCTATATTTAAAAATATCTCCACTAAAATATCTGAAGAATAATCATTGGGGGGTTGCCTGTATGTTATTGATAGAAGCATTAATATCTAAATTGATATATTAGATTCTATCTATAANCACATACTTGTTTGTTGTTATAAACCGGATTAAGCTTTTAAGATTATTATTATGATACTAAATTTTAATAATTCTTTAAGTAAAGTTAAACCGGAACAGATCCGAATTCGATTACATTGAAATTCAACCTTTATTGTAATTTAGAGCTCTTTAATCAACATCTAGAATTAGCCTTAGAAAAATAACATTTTCTATAGTAAAATGTTAAATTTGAGGAACTAGTAACAAATAATAAATCTTCCAGCAATTTTGGAAGAATTGAAAATCTAAATTTGTACACATTTCTAAGTATCTAACAGATTTAAGAAGTTGAATTACAATTTAGCTTTATTTAAGATTGTTCTATAGAATTCCATTCTTACATATTCACTACTTTAATTTAGAACATCTATTTTGTCACTTCAGCTAAAATTACTCTAGTTGGTAATGGGTATACATTATTCCTTAACTAAAATTTAGAAATACTGAATTTTGAATCTGTTTCAATACAACATTTAATAATTTAGCCGAAATCAACTGTGAACATTCATTTATAATCTTTAAGTGCTTTGAAAGTACTATTTAAATCAATAGTTATAAAATAATAATAAGAAGATTAAAATCCAATAACATTTAATATTGTATCCACAAATCTCTAGGAATTATAGATTCAAAACTTATCTTTACAAAATCTAAATCTACAATCTGTAACTAGTTTGTTTTCTTTCGAATATACAGTTTACTAACAATACATTAACATTAATATTGATGAATTTAATATTTAAAATTCAAAGATTCACAATTCAAATATCATTTTACTTGATAATTACTTTTAAAAAACAACAAATTGTTATTTGAATAACATTCTAATCACAAATTCCAATCTTTATGCTAGTAAATTTTTGACAACTTTAAATAACTAATATCTAGAAATGTATGGTTCATTTTCCTAAATATCCATGTATCTCTCTTTGTTTTCAGATATTCAACCTTTATTCTAGACCTTTTGTTTTAAAACTTTAAATATTAGCAGAATATCTTTAACAAATTCAACATTCTCAAATTTTATTCTATTTTAAACAAATAATGAATAAATTAATAAGGACTATTAAATTAAGTCATGTAATTTAAAGAATAGCTCAATTATTAATTTTTTTTAAGACTACTAGTTTCAATCTATTATTTTACAGAATATCGAAATTAATTAAGTTTATCATGACGATAAAACAATTCTTATAAATTTAGTATCAAATGATTTGACTAGTACAGTTAAGATGTCTAATATTATTTTAGATACAATTACTATTTTTGATAATATTGAATTGGTTTAAAATTTATAGTCAAGTTAGTCGATTATTATTATCTAATCCAACTTAATTGAAATATCTGATGTTAAAATCATCAGATCGACTGGCATTACAGAATTTTTATTATCCTCAGCTATTAACTTAGTACTTTCAAATTTTACTATTACTTTAAACTAAAAGTACATCTTTAAAAGCATTATCACAGATGAGTAATGTTCATAACTTGATATATATTCTAAATATGCACTCACTTTAATTGTTTAGATGGCATAAAATATTAGAATATAGAACTTTTATATATCTAATCTTATTATTTAGGATTTCCCTATGATTTACATAATCTCTGTAGCAACCTAAATTATTAGAAGATCTGAATCTATTGTAATTGATTTAATGAATGTAGATAATTGCATCATATAAAAGAGCTAGACTATTAATTAGATATCTGTAATTCTTATATAATCAGAATAATAATAAGATATCCAAATTCTAAATTCCAGATTTAATAATAATATTTACTATTCATACACCAAAGAATCTGAGTCTGAATCAGCATTAATCTTCTATATAATTGCATAAAACTCCAAAATATCACTGATTAAATGTTAATTTACCCAAAATTATATTTCTTAAAGCGAAAATAGCTTGTTAAATATAAATAGTGAATAAATTCATATAATTGATTCATCTTTTATTTCAAATAATTAGATTGGTGATAGCTTTTTGAAGCACATAAATTGGAAATATCTACCATTTTATTTAACAATAGAATAAATCAAAAATTAATTTTAAGTACTATCCACAAGTGGAAATGGTTAAATAACATCCTCCTCAGTTACACTTAGAAACACAAATATTGAAGATAGTTTTTCAACTTCTGCGGGATGCTTTAAAATTACATTAGAAAATGAAGGGCAGTTGCTTATCAGAAATTCTATATTTAAAAATATCTCCACTAAAATATCTGAAGAATAATCATTGGGGGGTTGCCTGTATGTTATTGATAGAAGCATTAATATCTAAATTGATATATTAGATTCTATCTATAATACAATTATTGGTACTGCTGAAGGCGGTGTTATTTATCTGCAGCCTATTACCTATTAGATTAACTTCAATTTCACTAATGTGACATTTTAGGATGTATTTTCAAATGATGGTAATATTGCAAAACTTAATTTCCTAAACTAAAATCAATTACTCTATATGTAGAATTGCAAAATTTTATAAACAATAGAGGGCTATTCCTAATTTAGATATTTGTTTGGTTCATTTAAAAAACATCAAACGACCTTGATTTCAATGTAGTAAGGATATCTTATTTTAAGAGATATGTTTGTTCAATTATATTTAAATATATTCTTGTAGTTGAATTATCAAAGCAAAATAAGTTTGACATCTATTGACATAGATTATTCTTATTATTACCAGAATTCTATAATTTAAATTAGCTTTTCAGCAGGTATTATAAAAATATTATATTTATAGACTAACAATGTAAAATAGAAATTATTGGTCTCAAAATGAAAAACTTTTAATGGTACAAAGATGACCCAAGATTATAAACAATCTAGATTAATTAAGTAATTAGTAATTAGGAAAAATTGTCAAAAGACTGTCAAAATTAACAAACATTATAATTAACAAACTCAACTTATGAATTAATAAATTTATCAAATTTTATAGATGAACCCGAAAATTAGATTGAAAGTTTAGTGTAAATAACAAATGTAAAAAATAGAGATTCAATATCAATAAAATCAAGCTAATTTTCAAATAATAAGTGCCAAATTTGTTAATCAGGACTTATTCTTATTAAATTAATTGAGTTGTAATCAGAAAATGTTATTTTGTCAAATATATGGTTAACTGATAATTAATGTGGTGAAAATGGATGTTTATGCGTTGTGTAAGAATTTCAAAGTTAAGATCAAAAGAAACTGTCTCAGTTAACATTAGACACTATATTCTGTTATAGAAATTAAGCAACTAAAGGAGTCTGTATAGTTAGCAAATAAGTTGGTCTAAAGATAATAAATAGTATTTTAAGTGAAAATCTAGCAGTTGAATAAGGAGGAACCATTTAA